AAAAAGCTTAAGCCAAGGTACATGGGACCATATAGGGTCATTGAGAGAGTTGGCAATGTGGCTTATCGATTGGATTTGCCACAAGAGTTGTCTGACTTCCATAATGTGTTCCATGTATCTGTGTTGAGAAAGGTAGTTAGAGAGTCTGAGCTGATACTACCTAATCCGCCAGTGGATGTGAGTGGAAACCTTCGGGTGCGAAGCATGCCTGTCTTGATAAAGGAATATTAGACAAGGGACGTTCAGAGGAAGGAAACCCGGATGGTCTTGGTGTGTTGGAAAAGAGATGGAATTAGTGAGGAGACCTGGGAAGAGGAAAATGACATGAGGAAATGGTGTCCTAAATTTTTTAAGGATGCGAGGGGATCGCAGGGTGGTTGCAAGAATTCAAGGATGAATTCTTCTAAAGAGGGGGATAATTGTAACACCCTGGATCTAGGCCCAATAGAAAAAGGAAAGTTTCATGTGTCAAAAGCCCAAGAGGAAAGAGTACTAGGGTTTTTCCAGAGTCTTCCCTATATAAATAGAGCTAGAGAGTTATGATTTACATCACAACTCCTAAAGCACTCAGAGATAGAACCTAGGAACCCTAACTGAGCAAGCCGCCGCTTGTGTAGATTTGTTATATGCTCACTTTTTCGTCAATGCAATGGCATTTAAAGATGAAATTAATTAATAACCACATGTGCTTTCATTTTCGTGTTACAAACAAATAAAACCACATTTAGGGCAATGTGACAATGGTTGACAAAAGCTTGTAAACCGTGTTTCTGGTGGAATCAGTAACAACCATTTGAGCAGATTAAATATTACACTACTTAATTCATTCGCCACAGCTCGAGACTAACCAAATCAAATGAAACCTTTTTATTGGGCTTGGGCTGAGAAACGTGTTGTTAGTTTGGGCTAGGTCACGGAAGTTCAATAATCCAGCTAAGTTTTTTGGTACTGGTTCTGAACTCAAAACCGGTGCGGGTTCAAACTGCAACCGGAAATGATGAAGGGGGGCTTGAAGGAGACAAAAATTACAAAAATGCGAAGTTGATGTGTCTTTACTAAACCGACAATGCGAGCGACCATTAAACCATGACACTTCACCATCGTTAAAAGATTGACCATTCACCCACCGTTTATACAAAACTAACTAGCTTTGTGACTTCATCAAATAAATCATGAATAATTACATATACGATGACTATATTTAAGCATTGGCCCCATCATTATAGGATGGTAATATCATATGAAGATGTTTATAATCATTATATGAGATGATAAAGCATTGGCCCCATGACCTTATGGTCCATGGAATATACGTAATAATCTTTCTGCCTGCTTTTTTTTTGGTGATAATAGGACTTTACAGAATGATAGAGTTGCAAATGTTGGGGGCATTCTTTAACCAACCAAAAAGAAGAACAAAAAAAAGAACAAAAACCAAATATTTGCTTCTAACATATGACACTTTGAGGACATCTCACCTTTTTATTCTTTCAGGTGACTCCTTTTCCTTTTTCTTCCTTTTGTTTTAGGAGATCTTGATGACCCCTTTTGTGATTTTGAAGATATATTGCTATTGATGTTTGTTGGTGGGCTTTGTAATGTGCGTGCAAAAGGAAATCCGATTTTAGAGAGTTAGGTTAGGTTACATCTTTATGTATATGGGGTAGGTTTGGTCCACAAGTTAAGATAGAAAAAAACCCTACAATGTATTTTAGAACATCTTTTATAAAAAGAAGAAAAAGATCTATATATCAATCTTCAATTGTGGGTTTAAACAATCAACCTCTATGTAATGTTAACATTTTTTGCTTTGTTAAAGATTCATTTAATGTTCTTATGAATCTTATCTATAAAAATTCTATTAGCTATTTTTTTTTTCACAGATGATACATATGTAATATTAGATTTTTTTTGTTTCCAACCATGTATCTAATTAGCGTTTTATTTTTGGCATTCCCACGTATTTAGAACACACAACTATATCAACATCAAGTTTGTGGATTGGCTTCGAAGAATGAATGGCATGGCATTAATCTTACTAGCTAACATGGTATGTTTAGCATTTTGTGGCAATGAAACATTGATCAATCATTGTTTTAAGTATACAAAATATTTATATTTTAGATAATTGTAGTTCAGCTATGTCGTTGAAACAGGAATTCTGGTTTTAGTTTGTTAGCAAGAATAATTGTAAAGCAATATAAAAATTTAGAATCCCTTATATAATTTTGAAAAGAAATTTCCGAAATTCAAATATGTTTATTTATATGCTAAATCAATATCATGCAAAATAAACTTTAGGGAAGTTATATTAATAACATAATTAAATATATTGACATTTATTTATTTATTTATTTTTGGATAATGTATGAGAACAGTGAAATTTATTCAAGAAACTGTTTACTCACCATCATTGATACAAGCAGCAAAACATGATGGACCGTTATCATTATGGGATGGGAGTTCAACTTTGTAGTAGAATTTAAAGTAATTGAAAAAATTAGATAAACCTTTGCTTATTTGATCGGGTACTCCTTCGCTAATTGACTAATATGATTAATTAAGAAAATATCAAAAGCTAATACACGTGAACAACACGTACTATATAGAGTTATTCAACGTGTCTCTTTTTATAAAGGGGCATGAGTTTATTTTTTTTATAAAAATAATACGTTACATTTGATATAGAAGATATTCAACAGATAAGAAAAATAAAGAGATGTCGGTTAGAATTGTTCTAATTTGTGTTGCTATATGCATTCATTTTAGTGTCATAATGGGTCACAAGCTTGTGGAATGATTGTACTCTTTCCATGATACAATAGAAAAAAAATACAAACTTATAAAATATTTTCTATTTTACAAACTTAAAATCTTACCACAAGCTTGTGGAGTAGCTAACAATTATTTAGTAGAAATATTTTCATGGATCCAATTAAGACGGAAGACAAAGTGAAACGTTATAGAAGACTCTGTTTTAACTAAGGTACGATAGTAAATCAATACTATGTGAGAAACTTTTATACACTAATTCAAAAATAATTACCCTAACCGAATAACTTGAGTTCAAATTATACTTAGCTTCCTTATTATACAAACTTAATTTTTTTTTTTTTTTTTTTTTTTTGTGTTGTCTTACAGTCAAAATCAGCAGAAGTAGACAGCTTAAAGGAATTACCTTTTGTAAAACCCAAGAAAAAACATTGTTTGACCAAAGGGTAGATTTGTCATTTCGTTCATGATTCAGATCTAATTTTCAACCTACATTAATTGTTACCTAATGTTGCACAAATTACGAGGCACACACACTCATCAACTTTTTACATTAAAACAAAAGAAAATAAATCCGAATCTTATGGAAGAAAAAAAAATTCGTAACTCTATCTACAGTAGATTATTTTTTTTCTTCTTCTAAACTGAAATTTTTTGAAAACACAATAATAACAACCTTTGACACAATCCCCAAATCTACGATCAAGAGTAAGAAATGATTTCAAAAATTCGAAAATATACGAGTTTTACTAGGGATATTAACTCACAAGGACCGTATCATTCTCCCCTAATTGCATTGATTACACCAAAATGTTTTTTTTTTTAAAATTCTACCCGTTGAAGTCAGATTCTGACCCTAATTAATTCTCGTTAATATATATTCAACGTTCCGTTTTCCAAAATAAAATCTCACTAATTAGATAAGAAGAGCAAAAGAAAAGGCAAGAAAACAATTTTATAAGAAAAGCAAAAAAAAGAGAAAATTACTGTGTGTGTGTGTGTCAAATCATTCTCACCTTTTATTTTTGTCGCGCAAAGACTTCCAAATCTGAAAGAATATAATTGCAGACAAAGAGAGAGAGAGATAGAAAGAGCTGTTGAGTGTGAAATAGAGAAGACAATGGGATGACTTTCACCATTATTTCGGAACTCTTGCTTGGTATGTTCTTGCAAATCATCTCTCTGGGTTTACATTGTTCTTATGACAAGCAATCGGTTTTCTTCTTATCGATTTTTGTATTTTGTTGTTGTTTTCTGACACTTCTTCACTTGGCAAAATACTTGAGTTTTCGTCGTTGTTTGTTCTCATTTTCGATTTGTACATTTGGATCCAATCTACTCGACATTCTTGAAGAAAAACCCAATTTTTAAAGTTTATTTAGGTACCCATTTCCTCTTTCTGGTAATTTTAATCTGAGAAAACTATTCAGGCAAGACCTTTTCTTGTCTTGTTTGTATCTCTGGATCCATTTTTTGTTTCTAGTTTTTGCAATGTCCGATTTTTCTCTCTCTCTCACACAAATCTTGAAGTGTTCGTTAAGTGTGGTTTATTTGTTACTTTGGTCCAAAATTATTGGTGACTCCTTCTGTGAGGCATTTTTGTTAAATCTCAATTTCTCAGCTTCTCTGACAAACATTTTGATTGATTTTGCTCTAATCCTAATATTTGTTTTCTGTTTTGCTAAAAGAACTAGTTTTTTTTCTCCCTTTTGTTTCAGTGTACTCATCTCATAATTCTTTATTTCTCAGGGTTTACTTGGATTGAACTTTGTTTAAAACTACATTGTTATATATTATTAAGTGATCTCTTGAGTTATTATTGACCTAAATACTCTCAATACAGAGCTTCTTTGTCTCTGTTGTGTTTGGAAAATAATTTTGGTTTGCTTTCTCTGACAATTTCTGTTCTTTTCTTCAGGAGGATACAGTATTTACCGTCCATAAGACCACACAAAAGTTAGAGAGATTCCAGCGTTTTACAAGAGGTTTGTTCATTGAGTAGACAAAAAAACATATTGCTTTAAAGTCTAAACGGTTTTTAATTGTAGATTTGCTTATAGTGTGACATTGCTTCAGTTTTGCAGGTGAAAAAGCTTAACACACAGAGAGATCAAAGGAAAAATAGTAGAAATCGAGCTGGTTTGATTCTGGCCTGGAATCCTTACCTGGCACTTGACCACCCTTGGGTGAAGTCTAGACCACTCTTTGTGCTTGTTGCAGCCGGCGTGATGGCTACGGTGTTGCACTCTGAGTCGAGGCGCCTATACTCCTGGTGGTGGGACAGTCACATCCCCAAAAACTCTAAATGGATTCAGCAGAATCTTGCAGGTGCCTTTATCTCTCTCTCACTCTCACTCTCTGTTTGTTCTTAAGTGCTAATGTTGTGTTCTTCGGTATTGTTTTACGGTTATTTAACAGTAAAAAGGAATTGAACTTTTCTTGATGCAGATATGGATTCGAAAGTCAAGTCCATGATCAAGCTCATAGAAGAAGATGCAGATTCTTTTGCAAGAAGAGCAGAGATGTACTACAAGAAACGTCCCGAGCTGATGAAACTGGTGGAAGAATTCTACAGAGCTTATCGTGCGTTAGCAGAGAGGTACGATCATGCGACTGTGGAGCTTCGCCACGCGCACAAAACCATGGCCGAGGCGTTTCCTAACCAAGTCCCCTTCGACATGATTGAAGATTCTGCTTCTTCCTCCTGTTCTGACCCGCGTACGCCCGAGAAAACGCCACCTGGGAACCGGCCGTTTTATGACTCCGAGGACATGAGTGCCACGAGTAGAAGAGGGTTGAGTCAGCTTACTGAGTACGTTGGAAATTACGAAACAGAAGTTGAGAGTTTGAAAAGAACGTTGGTTGAGCTTGGAGCTGAGAAGGAAGCCTTGAATCTTCAGTATCAGCTTAGCTTGAACAAACTATCCGGACTAGAAGAAGACCTTAAGGATGCTCAAAAGGATGTTAAAGGGCTTGATGAACGCGCTAGCAAAGCTGAGATTGAGAGCAAGATACTCGCAGAAGCACTTTCAAAGCTTGAAGCCGAGAGAGATGCTGCGCTTCTTCGGTATAATCGAGCAATGGAGAAGATAGCGAATCTGGAGGAATCATTTTCAAATGCGCAAGACGATATAAAGGGGCTCACCAACAGAGCAGCTAAAGCAGAAACAGAAACGGAGAATCTTAAGCAAGAGCAAAGTAGACTGCATTCTGAGAAGGAAGCTGGCTTAGCACAGTACAATCAATGCCTTGAGATGATATCTGCTCTAGAGAAGAAGGTTAGAGAGGCGGAGGAGAATGCTCAACTGTTTAGTAATCAGTCTGCAAAAGCAGAGGATGAGATTAAAGCATTGAGACATGAACTTCTGAAGGTAAATGAATCGAAGGAAGGGTTGAGTCTTCGGTACCAGCAGTGTTTGGAAACTATATCTAAGCTAGAGAGAGAAGTGTCTCATGCTCAAGAAAACGCCAAAAGACTGAGCAGTGAAGTTTTAGCTGTAGCTGCAAAATTGAAGACTGTAGAGGATCAGTGTACTCTTTTGGAGAGCTCAAACGAAACTTTAAAGCTAGAAGCAGATGGTCTAACGCACAAGTTAGCAGTTAAGGATCAAGAACTTTTCAAGAAGCAGGACGAGCTTGAAAAGTTTGAAGCTTTAATCCAGGATGAGCACTCTCGGTTTCTAGAAATCGAAGCCAGCCTTAGAAGTTTGAAAAGCTTGCATTCTCAGTCACAAGAGGAACAAAAGGTTCTCACTTCTGAGATTCAAAGCAGGGTTGACATGTTGAGGGACTTGGAGACTCGTAATCAGAAGTTGGAAGGAGAGATCAGCTCAGTTAAAGAAGAGAACCGGAACTTAAGCCAACTAAGTGACTCTTCTATGATCTCCCTAGAGACTCAGAAATGCGAGATTTCTAGCTTGAGGGAGGTGAAAGGAAACCTCGAGGAAGAAGTTGCAAAGCAAATCAACCAAAGCAGCGCCCTTCAAGAAGAGATCCGTCGTCTGAAGGATGAAATCAACAGCTTAAATAAGAGGTATCAAGCAATAATGGAGCAAGTGAAACTCGCGGGATTGGATCCCGAGTCTTTTGCCTGCTCCGTGAGGAAGCTACAAGATGAGAACTCAAAGCTGACTGAGTTGTGCAACCACCAGAGAAATGATAAAGATGCTCTTACTGAGAAGCTGCGTGAAATGGATAACATTCTAAGGAAGAATGTTGGTCTAGAGAAATTGCTTCTGGAATCAAACACCAAACTAGATGGTTCTAGGGAGAAGACGAATGATCTGCAAGAAAGATGTGAGTCTTTACGAGGAGAGAAAGCCGAGTTTATCGCTGAGAGAGCTAACCTGCTTTCTCAGTTGCAAATCATGACTGAGAATATGCAGAAGCTCTTGGAAAAGAATTCGTTATTGGAGACATCTCTTTCTGGTGCAAACATTGAGCTTCAAGGTGTAAAGGAGAAATCAAAATGCTTTGAAGAATTCTTCCAGTTGCTCATAAACGATAAGGCTGAGCTTACAAAGGAAAGAGAATCTCTCATCTCTCAGTTAAATACAGTTAAGGAGAAGCTAGGGGTTTTGGAGAAGAAGTACACGGAATTGGAAGGAAGATATGCTGATCTACAGAGGGACAAACAGTTCAAAAATCTTCAAGTGGAAGAGCTAAGAGTCTCACTCGCCACTGAGAAGCAAGAGCGTGCTAGTTACGAAAGATCCACTGACAGCAGATTAGCAGATCTTCAGAGTAACGTGAGCTTCCTTCGAGAAGAGTGCCGCTCCAGGAAAAAGGAGTTTGAGGAAGAGCTTGACAGAGCTGTAAATGCGCAAGTCGAGATCTTCATCTTACAAAAGTTCATAGAAGACTTGGAGCAGAAGAACTTTTCTCTCTTGATGGAGTGCCAGAAATATGAAGAGGCGTCAACGTTTTCAGAGAAACTCATTTCGGAGCTGGAAAGCGAGAATCTTGACCAACAGATGGAAGCAGAATACTTGTTGCATGAGATTGATAACTGCAGGAGTGCAATCTATCAAGTGTTCAAGGCACTTCAACTTGAAGCAGATTCCAAAACAGCTGACCAGAAGATTGCGAAAGAGCGTATTCCAGTTTCACGCATCTTGGTTGGGATTAATGAGCTAAAACGTTCACTTTCCGGAGCTGAATATGAGAAGCAGCGGCTTGTGATTGAGAACTCTGTCCTGCTATCTCTACTTGGACAGTTTCAGTCAGATGGCATGAAGGTGGAATCAGAGAAACAAAATGTAGAGAAAGATCTGGAGACAATAGTACACCACTATGAAATGCTGAATAAGGACAGGCTCGAGCTATTGGAGATGAACCAGCAGTTGAAATCAGAACTGATCGACAGAGAGCAGCGGGAGCTAGAGCTAAGAGCTGAACTACAAACTGAGCGTTTAAAGTTTGAGAGTTTGCATGAGTCATACATGGCTTTGCATCAAGATTACTCAAATGCTCTTCACAAAAACAAAACTTTGGATCTGGAATTTTCAGAGCTTAAAGATGAGATGTGTATACTGGAGGAAGAGAACAATGCTGTTCTTCAGGAAGCTGTTGCCTTGAGCAACATGTCTGTGGTTTACCAGTCCTTTGGGTCTGAAAAAGCTGAGCAGGTTGAAGCTTTTGCTGAAAGTCTGACTATTGTACAAGATAGTAATAAGGTGCTGAAGCAGAAGGTTGAGACACTCGAGGAGAAGTTAACAGGGAAAGAGGTGGACAGTCAAGAGCTTAACAGCAAGCTGGAAAAGTTACAGGAAAGCCTCGAAGAATCCAATGAGCTTAATGATCTCTTAGAACATCAAATTTCAGATCAAGAGGAAATATTGAAACAGAAGGCGATGGAGCTCCTAGAAGCCGAAGAGATGCTCAAGGCTACACACAATGCTAATGCGGAGCTGTGCGAAGCAGTTGAAGAGCTGAGGAAAGATTGTAAAGAATCAAAGCAGCTGAGAAGAAATTTAGAGATGCGGATTTCAGAACTGTTTGACCTTGGTGAGAGACAGGAGGAAGAGATTAAAAAGCTTAGCAATATGAAGGAGAACTTGGAGTCAGAGGTGGAGTTGTTACACAAGGAAATACAAGAACAGCGAGTTCGAGAGGAGTTCTTGAGTTCGGAGCTGCAGGAGAAGAGCAATGAGTTTGGACTTTGGGATGCGGAGGCAACGTCTTTCTACTTTGATCTACAGATCTCAGCTGTCCGTGAAGTCTTGCTTGAGAACAAAGTTAAGGAACTCACGGGAGTTTGTGAGAATCTCAAAGATGAAGCTGTCATAAAGACCACAGAGGTGAAACAGATAAAAGAAACAGTTGGGTCCTTGGAATATGAAGTGACTGAGTTGAAGACTCAATTGTCTGCCTATGATCCTGTGGTAGCATCTCTAGCAGAAGATGTAAAATCCCTTGAGAAAAATGCGCTGTTGTTGATGAAACTCCCGCAAGCTGACCATTACAGAGAGGTAAACTAATCTTTGTTCCTTCTATTACATGTTACCTCAAGTTATTGACCAATTTTCCTAACTATATTAGATGTTTCCATTTGGTGAAACATGTGCCTTTTGCATATCTAGATATCTCATGAATTAAACTCCTCCATTTTCCTCAGGGCGTACCGAATGATGAGCATCCAGAAGCAGTAGTCTCTCAAGAGCATGTTGGACATAGAAGTACCAACCAAGACAATGGAATTGTGCTTTTGCAGGACATGAAATCAAGAATTAAAATCATACAGCAAGCAGTTGTTGAGGAAAAGAAGAGGCTTGGAAAGCAGAGAAGACGAGGCTCCTCGCACAGAAGCAGCAGAGACCGCAGGCTATTTGAAGAGATTGAACTTGAGGACAAGTTCTCTGGTGAAATCAGAAAGCCTAGATCACCTGCGATGACTGAGATGAGAAATGGTTCATTGATGAAAGACATCCCCCTTGATCATGTTGCAGACTCTCCGTTCTGTGGAAGAAGCCGGAGAACTAGTCGTGGCTCCAATGACCAGATGCTTGAGTTATGGGAAGAATCTGCTGAACCAGAATCAAGCATCAAGTCTCTGATGAACAGTAAAATCTCAAAGAAGCCTATCATTCCCCGTCTCCACCGCAGAAGCAGGAATCCCTCTATCGAATCACAGTCTGAGAAAGTGGTTGGAGTTGTTGACAAGTTAGAGTTATCAAGAAGCATTGAGGACAATGCCAAGATCATGGAGAGACTTTTGTCTGATTCTCGAAGACTGGCGAGCCTTAGAATCAGCCTAAGAGACCTGAAAAGCAAGCTGGAGATGAACGAGAAGCAAGGGAAGTTCACTAACCCCGATTTTGCTAGAGTGAGGAAACAGCTGAAAGAGATAGAAGAAGCCATCTTTCAGCTTTCAAACACAAACGAGATTCTTTCCAAGGAGATTGAGGAGACCGGAGACGTCAGAGATATCTACAGAAAGGTGGTTATTGAGAAGTCAAGAATCGGATCCGAGAAGATAGAGCAGATGCAGCAAGAAATGCAGAGCGTTGAGCGAACAGTGCTAAAGCTTGAAGATGGAGCAGCCAAAAGCAACGGAAAGAAAAAGTTCTCTGAGAGTAGGACAGTGATACTTTTGAGAGGCATCATCCACAAAGGTGGGAAAAGGACAGCGAGAAAGAAGAAGAACCGTTTCTGCGGCTGCATGAGATCTTCGGCTAAAGAAGAGTAGGGTGGGGATAATAACGTAACAGCATCTAGTTTACTATCTATTTTTCACTTTTAATCATCGAACTGACTCTAGAAGTACTTTTTGTCATGGTTTCTAAAGTATTAGAGCAAGTTAAAATAACCTTGTAGCTTCTGCTAAAAACTGTATCTATCTGGCTTGACTCCTATGTTCAGAACTTAGTTTTTGGATGCTCTTTATAAACTAGAATGTGATATTACATTAACTGCTAGAAGATAAGTATTTTACAAGAACATTTGCTCTTAATCTAGAATGTGATGATATTACATTAACTGCTAGAAGAAAAATATCTTACAAGACCATGTTTGCTTATGTTATGAAACAGTGATAGGCTTTGACATCATCCGGGAACCTTACAAAGATACAAATAATTTGTTTTCTTAGCTAAACCAAAATGGCTTTTTATTTCACTGATTTGGGTTAAGAGAAGGAAACGCTGGAATAGACCGTAAAATCAGCTTCCGGCCATTACTTCTCTTCCCTAGGATTGAGCCTGATTCCGAGGAGCCAATGTGAGGAGGAGAGACTCTCTTGCTGTTGGGAGATATGGCCTTGATGGTAGTTATAGGGGTAATGGTGAGAATCTCGGGCATAGTCTCTGTTTTGTCTTCTGTCACGGTTTCAAGAGGCTTCTTCTCATTCCCTGACTGCGTAGAATCAATGTCTGGTTTCCTAAAAGAGGAAGAACCCGCGCTAAGAAAAAACTGTGTCGGAGGCAGTCTGTTCTTAGACAAAAACGGCTGATGAACCACCAAATGTCTACAAGAAAACAGAAGAATCAGGAGCTGTCTTGTTTGCATATTGAAATTTTGACAGAGCCTACCTGTACGGTGGCAATGGTGTCGAAGGTTGATCAGAACTTGGGTTCTGCTCGACGACTTCTTTCGACATCAGGTCGGAGTTGTGTTGGACTTTCGCTGCTCTTTTCTCATACGTCTCGTGATCCTCATCTTGTTTGCTCTCCATGATAGCAAGTAAAGAAGCTGAGATTTGTAATCATGTCAAAATCATAAGAAGGCTTTGGGATAATTCAATTGTTATGGAAAATGGGAGCTAAAGAAGCCTAACCTTCTTTATTGCCGAATGCATTCTTACATCCTTCACATCTACAGTTTATGGAACATCCAACTCCACCCTATAAGATTCATCGAAAAAGAAGGTATCTGAATCAGACCATGGAAGGATAAACTACACATATGAATATGGAGTTTAATGATGACTAGATGATGAAAGAAAAACCTGATAGCATTCACAGTATTTCTTCAAACAGTTTGATTTCTTGCAGTTGCAGCCTCGTTTGTGTCGCGCTGAAGCTGGAGTTTTACTTGCATCATCCTGTGCAAGATTACAGATTCATACCTCAGATAAATGGAGAACATAGAGAGAGAAAGAGAAGAAGAAGATGGAAGAGAGAGCTCTTACAGTAGCATCCATGATGGAATCTGCGCTTCTGATGACTTTAGGAGCAAATGCTAGTGGATTTCGTGATTCAATCTGTTTGCGAGTAGCTAAGACAGTGTCTTCATGGATAGGTTTGTTAAAGCAATCAACACATGAACACGGTTCTATGCAATAAACCCCAGCAGCAAAGCATTCACAGTAACTGCAGAGAGAAAAGAGACTCAAACCACAGTTAACTACTTCAAGCCAATTTGAAATTTCTGAACATGCAAGGATTAAAGAAGAGGAGCTTACAGCTTCAAACACTTCGACTTTTTGCAGTTGCATCGCTTACATGAATCTCCCTCTCCAGCTTGTTCAGACACACGCCTGCACATTTAATGCCAACAGATAAGAAAGAAGAAGAAATATACATACCAGTTATGAGAACTTTTCTTAGGAAAAAAAAAACTTGCCTCTTTTTCTTAAGGCTGCCCGGATTCAACTCTTCGAACACCAATGCCTTGGGAGCTTCTTCTACAACTGCTTGACCTTCCCCATGCTCGTTTTCTTCTTGGTCCAAAGTTTCTTGCACGGTTTCTTGTGAGTGAATCGGAGTAGTAGAGCCTGAGAAACTCTTTTGAACCTCTCCAGATGTTATATACTCATGTATGACGGTGATATTACTGTCCCTTGAGGCCATTGCAATGGCGTTTAGATGGAGACCAATACCGGGAACAACACATTTCGAGGAAGATTCCGCCTTATCGTCACACACGGTATGCTGATCATCAGCTATATCCTTCTTCCGCTTCCCTGGCACCTCAAAGTCTAGACAGCGTCTTCGCATGCTACCACGATGCAAGTTAGAGACAGACTAAACACAAAACAAAACAACTAGTTTAGAGACCAGAGATAAACTAATAAACACACTCATGAAGGCTAACTTTTGAAATGTATTCCTGAAAATTCACCTCGTTGGGAAGCACAACCAAAGACCTGTTATCATTGCTGGATCCATTGACTGGAACATCATTGGTGATATCATGCTGCTTAGTTAGCTTGACACCAGCGCAGAAGCGTCTCTCCGAGCTTGATATTTTATCCACAAGGCATCTAAACGCCTCTGAGTCATTCGGAGATCGAAATACCAAAAGCTCACTACCATCTCCGAACGAACGACCACAACCAGGAGTGTCATTTTTCCCCTGAGCATCATCAACCATCTTCTGGAGACGCGTTTTGACATCCTCAGAAGACGAACCATTGTCTCCTCGAGGAGTATCAGAAGGATCTGTCAGTACTTCGGCGACAACATCTCCGTCGTAAGACGAATCACCAAGGTCAGGACTCTGGCTGTCTGACTTCAACACCTGTGGCAGCTCACAAGACGTCTCAATAGAAGTTTCTTCTCCTTCTTCCACTGAAGCAACTTTGTTTAGATCAACATCAGGTGATGCTACAACGTCTTCTTTAGAAGCAGACCCATCTAGTGATTCCAAAGCCTTTGAACGATCAGCAGAGAAATGACTGAAAAAAGAGAAAAACAAAAACACCAATTACAACAATACAAAACCATCCTCTACTGAAACAAGCAAGAAGAAGAGTATGTTATTACCATCTGAAGAATCTGGATTCTCGGTGAAAACTGGCGTGAGGAGAGGTGAAAACAGGAGGAGGAGAGGTGAAACTGAGAGAGCTAAACGTCTGAGCAGTGGAGATGGATCTGGCCGGCTCAATGGGAGAGAGATTGTTTATGTAATTGAACACTGGTGAATCCTAACATTACACAAATTACAGTTTAAAACTCACATCTTCGAATCAAAGCTAAAGCAAAGAGAAGACCAATTCGCAGAGACCACAACCAAAAATCGTTTGTCAGAAAAGACAAAATCTTCAAACAAAAATGAGCAATTTTTTTTTTCTTAGTTCACACTGAGCGTGAAAATGAAATTAACCCAACAACAACAAAAAATGGCGAACACCCTGAAGCTAAAACATGACTAATTCAGTAGAAATCAAGGAGCTAAACCCAGAAATCATCTTTCTCGAAACTGAAAAAAAAAAGGTACAGTGTGTAGAGAGACGACGAAAGGAGTAAAATTTGACGGAAATAAGAGAAGGGTGTTGAAGAAAAAACCTCGAATTTGGATTTTGGAGTTGGGGTTTCGATCTGGGAGGAAGACTTCTTCTGAGGATTATCCATTTTACCAGCAAAATTACATCTGCATTGCCTCTATGCAGACAAGTGATATTATCTAGGGTTGATGGATTTCGAAAAGGAAAGGAAAAAAAAAAACTTTGTCCGCGCCGGTGCGAAACAGTGAGAAGACCAACAGTGAGGAAAAAAGAAATGTTGTTGAAAGTCCACTAAACGACGTCATCTTTATATTGACTCAGGCCCAGCCCTTACATATAGCAATTTTTTTTTTTATTGTTGCTTAAGAAAATTGTTTGATTCTACCATTTGCAAATTGTTTTTTTGCTTTAAAAAAAAGGAACAACTATTTTGAAAAATAAAATTTTATTTGATGATGATGCAACAAAAAATTATTTAAGCTGCATGGAAAAAAATAATACAATAACTAATTTACAAAGAAAATATGTGTATAATGACAAATTGACAATAGCATAAATATATAAAATAATTAGAAAAAATATAGAACGGTTATACTTTAAACGTTAGATTTTAGTCAAAAAGAAAGATGTAGATTATTACATTTTAAGCGTTAGATTTTAGGTGAATTTATTAATCATATGAGAACAAAAGATAGAGAGTTTCATTCTACATATCAATACTAACAATAATGAAATTTATAGTTCTGAAATTTTAAAAATTTAGATAGTGTATAAATAACCTAGACGATGAATAAGTAATCTAGATAGCTTTCACATTCTATTCATCTAATAAATATAGTAAGTTTTCTATTTTTCAATCCAAAATGAAAAGTTTGTTTAAGTGAAACTTTTAGAAACTAGAACAACTTATAAATTTTAATTTTTTGTTTTCATTGTTAATAGGCATTTTTATCATACTTATAAATCGTTCCAACTGAACGTTTTATTTCAAACACTTGCTTTCTTAAATACTTTAGAGAATTCAAGTGTTTGGAAATGTTCACTCATCAACTTGTAGACAAACCCCTAGTTGTCTTTATCAATAAAATTTCAAATTTGTGTCATTTAGTACTATCACCCTCACATACTACATAGTTCCTGTAAATCATTTACTAAAGTGGCTACATTTGATGCATATGTTGTGAAGATATGATAAATGACTCAACATTTTTGCTTAGAAATCTATTTGAAAAATAACAATTGTCAAAGAACTTTTAATTAGATGATGCCAAACAAAGAATTCTTTAAGCTGCAATGGAAAAACAAATTAATTAAAAAAAAAAAAGATATGCGTTATAATGATAGTGACAAAAAAACTTTTTATTGAAATAAATATGCTTAGATTTTAGCTTAAAAATAAAGATTTGGAGATTCGGATAGTGTGTCAAGAATTTAGATGGCGAGTAAGCAATCAATGCAGTCTTTGCATTTGGTTCATCTAATAAAAAAAGTGTTTAACAAATTTTTGTCAGCCTAATTCTTCAAAATTTTAGTTCTAATTGCTTGTAAAGTGGATTTATATTTGAAGAAAGGTTTTCTAACTCATACAAACCGTCTAAAATCGCTTTTATCGATTCAACATTTTAGTTTAAGCGCTAGAGATTAGCTCCTCAATCATTTTTCTTAAACACTTAATAAACGCTCCAAATTTGTGTCACTTAATCCTATAACACTTCCCATACTACATAGTTCCTGTAAATCATTTACTAAATTGGCTGCATATGTTGCATATGTTGTGAAGATATCACATATATACGTATATATGACTTCAACATTTTTATTACACAACCATTGGAAAAACAAACGCAACTGTTCTACAACTAAACTATTAGAAACGTTCTGCGTATGTTGTTGTGTACACTAAACTACCAACTAGAAGTTGACAATCATCACAAATTTCAAAGATTCAAAGAATTTTTAATGGTGTGGAGTGAGAGAAGGAAAACTTGGAATCGAGAGTATCAGCTTCCTTCCACCATTTCTTTTCCATGGAGTCGACTCTGATGAATCAAGATGAGGCAGAGAAACCCTTTTGCTGTTGGGAGATACGGCATTGATATTAGTCATCGAAGATTGGTTCACATTCTCAATATCCTCTGCACTCTCCTCTGTGATTGTCTCAATCCTTGAAGAATGAGACAACAAACTCATATCTTGTTTCCTGAAAGATTGGCTATTGTATAAGGAAGATCCAAAAGCTCCATATAAATGCTGAGACTGTTGAGGAATCAGCCTGTTGTTGGATGAGTTTGGAAGCTGAGCCAATGGTTGTCTGAATAAAGAAACAAAGGTTAGAGAGCAAAATCAGGAGACAACACATTGATTTGTTTGAGACTGTTTCTTACCTCAATGGCATTGGTGTTGAAGGTGGAAGTGGAACAGGATTGAACAACTCTACATTCTGTTGTGGTTTCGGTGTTCCGCTTTTGCCAGATGATTCGTTTTCATCATCTTGTTCCATATCCATGCCATAAAATGAAGACCCTGCAGAGATTGTACACTTGAGTTATACATAAGACTTGTGAAATTAGACTTATGGAAGATGGGAACAAAAAGACTAACCATCTTTTTTGCCAAATGCATTCTTACATCCTTCACATCTACAGTTTATGGAACAACCAACACCGCTCTGTAGAAGATCATCACAGACAAATGTATCAGAATCAGTTTCAAGGAAGAGTCTCTTACACAGATGATGATAAAAAGAAGCAAACCTGATAGCATTCACAGTATTTCTTGAGACAGTTTGATTTCTTGCAGTTGCAGCCTCGTTTGTGTCTCGCTGAAGCTGGAGTCTTGCTTGCATCATCACCAACTTCCATGATGGAATCAGAGTTTCTGATGACTTTAGGAGCAAACGCAAGAGGGTTTCGTGATTCGATCTGTTTGCGAGTAGCTAAGACAGTGTCTTCATGGATAGGTTTGTTGAAGCAATCTATACACGAACATGGCTCTATGCAATAAACTCCAGCAGCAAAGCATTCACAGTAACTGCAAGAGAGAAAACATCAAAAAGAGACTCAAACAAAAACGATATGAGCAAAAAAGATTAAGGAGAGTGTATAAAAGAAAAGCTTACAGCTTCAAGCACTTGGATTTTTTGCAGTTGCATCGTTTACATGATGACTCTCCTTCTCCTCCTGCTTGTTCTGACTTTCGTCTGCGCGTTTCAAATGCCAAATAGATTTGTTAAGAATTGGAAAAAACGAACCTTTATAAATCTCTTTGTGCAAGATTTAAGATTTAACTTGCCTTTTCTTCTTGGGGCTGCTTTGATTCAATTCTACTAAAGCTGAAGTCTTTGGAACCTCTTCTACTACACCTTGACCTGCATCTTCACCGGTTTCATTTGCTCTGACAATGTCCTGCGAGTGAAGAACCGGAGTTTGCAAACCGACTTTTATGTTTCCGGAGAATGAGAACTCATTACCAACATTGCTGTCCTTACAGGACATTGCAATGGTGTTTAGATGCAGACCGATGCTAGGTACTACACATGTCGATGAAGATTCACCAAGCGTTTGCTTATTGTTACCCTGCATCTCAAAATCTAGACATCGTCTTCTCACGCCACGATGCAAGATCGAAAAAGCCTGTCACACACACAGCACACACGATCATTTCAGAGACAATGATCAATCAAGAACCAAAGCTAAAGTAGGTTTCTCAAAACTTTTTAACTCACATCAGAGGACTCAGGCTCATTACTATTCGAAGCAGGCTCCAATGTAGGTTTAGTACCACCACTACGTAAACGTGATTGGGAGTTTGATCTGGGCAAGAAGCATCTAACAAACTCTGAATCATTCGGTGAGCTATAAATCAACAGTTCAGAATCAGAAATCATAGTTTCCCAGTCTGGTGTTTCGCTTTTCGGCTTGACATTGTCGTCACACATCTTCTGCAGATCCATTTCACCATTTTCACAGGAACCACCATTGATAACTCTAGGAGTAGTAGTAATAATGCAGTCACTCTTGAGTACTTGTGGCGGTTCGATTTCGACTGAAGTTTCTTCGTTAGACCCAGATACATCCTTGATATGATCAGAGGAGTTATTATGACTGCAAACGAAAACATTCCAAGTAAGAAGAAGTATCTTTTATCAGAATGAGATCAAGGAAGAACACAAAGGAGGACTTTGATTTTACCTTCTGAAACGAGATCCTTTGTGAGAAGACGCGTGAGGGGAAGTGAAAACTGAAGGAGGAGATGAGAAACTGAGAGAGCCAAAGTTTTGAGCGATTGGTATGGATTTAACAGGTTTGATTGGAGAAAGACTGTTTATGTAGTTGAACACTGGTGAATTCTGCATTGGCCAAAAACTTTTGATGTCAAAAAAAAAAAACACAAAACTTTGATCGAATTTCTCAAAAGACAAACAATTCTACGAAACGGTTTAGAGATTGAAAGTACGGATTTTTGTACCCTACGATCTATCAAACACAAAATTCCTTTATAAAACCGTGTTACCATTGTTGAACCATCTCGAATTCCAAAAGGAGAAAACCCAATACGGGAAAGTTTGAGTGGGAATTAAAATCGATCTCTTGAATTGAAAAACTGAATCTTTGACTATAATTCAACTAATTGAAAGATGGGTACTGCACAGATTCCATAAAAACAAAACTTTTTCTCTAAACATTAAAAAAAAAATTGCATCACAGAAGCAGGAACAGAGGAACAACAACGAAACAGAGCAAAAAGAGGAAACTTTAACCGAAACAAGAGATGTGTGTTGAATTATAAAAAAAAACCTCGACTTTGAGTTTAGAAATTGGAGTCCCGATCTGGGTTTTAGTTTTTGGCGGCGTATCCATTTTCCATCAATCAATCTCGCATCAACATTATCTTTTCGATGATTCTCTCTCCGCTCTCTTTATCTCTCTCTGTATCTTCTTTAGGGTTGAAGAAGAAGAAGAGGAGATTCAAAGAAGGAGAGAGGCGGGAAGATGAGGATTTTCTCGTGAGGATAGTCCAAACCAAATCCAACAAAGGCCACACCACAACAACAAAGGTCGCTATTTGACCCCAACACTTGTCTCTCTTTCTCTTTCTCTTTCTCTTTCTCTTTCTCTTTGTTTCCTATATATACACAACTACGACGTATCTCTCTCTCTTTCTCACTTTAATACTTGAAGAATTCACTTTGTCTGTAAACCTACGTCGTGAATATCGTAATCGATTATTTTGCTTTAAATAAAGTAACGGACATCACCTTGATCTTTGCTTGATTTTTCTTTTTCTTTTCCCTTATTTTATATATTCCATATAGTTTGATGATGAGAAAATAAAAGTAACTGCAAGTAACTACAGTTCCTTCCTTCGCTGCTTCTGTTTTGTTTGCATACAAAAAGAAATAAAAAATTCCTTTTTTTCTTTCTATAATTCTTTTTTTTTGTTGGGTGAAATTCTTTCTTTAATTCTGTTTATTTGTTGGTTTTCTTTTTTTTTAATATATAAGTATGTGGTTTACTGACTCCGTTGACTACTTGTCATTGTAGATATACTCATATACACCAATTTTCCATTTTTATTTATTTATCTAATACGTACCTTACATTATTTGACCGTATCAACAGTGATTGTTAAGATACCTACTAATCGAATTTATTACAAAAATGGTTTATCACAACCTTGGACTTTGTCACTTTTATGTTTTTTTTTTCGTTTCCAAAAAAAAAAAAAAAATCATGTAAGATGTTAACGTCTTCATTTTCCGTGTCAACAATCAACATCTTAATGAATGAAATTAAATGTATCGAGCAAATAAATTAATGTCTGCTCAATAAATGCGATTGACTGAAAAAAAAAGCTATATTATGATCTCGTAAAAATACATAAATCAACTGGAATCCATATAGTAGTAATTAAAAGAATATACTATGAATAAAATTATAAATAAAATATTATTAGGAACAGATTGGAAAGGAACACGTTACAAATTACAACTTACAATGCTTTTAACCTGGAGATTTGTAATTAGTATATTGCCGCTAAATATGCTAATCACGAGAAAGCACTTACGAGTAATCATCATCACTTAAATTGAAATTAATTGGTCAATTATTCGTAGTAATAGTGATAATCACGTACTATGATTTTGTAGCATTTTTTTATGTAACGTTCGGAGAAAATCAAGCCTCTTAAACTGCATGGAATTATAATACAATCTCTCCCATATTTTTTAACTTATGTTTTCTCTCTTGTTCTTTTGTTTTTATGATCGATTAGCATCGATCCAGACCCATAAGTTTCAACTTTCAAGAGAAGACCCAAGAAAACACGCTTGGTAACACACATTTTTAGCTCAAACAATTCTAATGGCATATACAATACTTGTAATAAGTTTGTTGCCGAATAGTTTACTAGTATTGTGAAGGTTAAATATCAATAATAATGATGGTGAAATCCATCAAATATACTCGTTTCTGTCAAAAAATATCAAATGGTGACGGTGAAATCCATCAGATATATCCGTTTTCAACGGTTTTCCGACGGATTTCACCATCACATCTGATATGTTTTTCTTAATGCTTCTTGATTAAATTGATAAAAAAAAAAAAAAATTCACACATGATAAAAGAACAAAATAAAAGCTTAATTATAAATGCATGATTTTTTTATACTAAACATTTTTTATAGCTCTAGACCAATTCATTGAATTTAATTATTTGCAATCATTTTTTAGGTTTACAATGGATAATCATTAATTAATAGAAAAGTATAGAAACCCTTAAAAGAATATCTTTATGGAACAAGAAAAATGTTAGAAAGATAAGTATGTTTTTAGAAACGGAGTGAGTGATTATTAATGTTATTTTATATCGATATTATCAAAGTATTTTATAACTACTTGTATGCATGGTTTCTTTAAGTATAGAAGTTGATAGGTATTCGAATGATTGTTAAGTGATTGGACATAGATGCATGTTTGACCTTCAAAATACTATTTGTTTTCTCATTATGGAAGCGATACTTTGTAAAGTGAAATGATTGGTGCAAATATTAGTTTCCATATTACATTCATCTCGTTCATCTTCATCCCATATCCCATATATTCCTTTTGGTATTTTACTATTTGGAGCCATTATATGTAATATGTTGTATCCAGTCAGTAAGTATTACAGTTAATAATTTCAACGTACAAGTAAACGAACAACTTGCAACTAAATTATTTCTAAGTACGTCTACGTGTAAATAAGTAGTTGAAATGTTAATGTCACATTCAATAATGAGTTAATAACTATACATGATGAATCGTGAAAACAGTTATTATGCACCTATTGTGAAACTGTGAATATTAACTATATATATATATATGTTGGAAAAAAACATTAGCTATTTATATCTCCTAGCCAAAAAAAATGTCTTACCCGTGACGCCATAAAGTGAATGCTCCAAATGTTCGCTGCAGGGGGCTCCTTTCGTTGGTACGTGATAACGTGAACGTGATTTATCGAAAGGGAAATATGATACTCAAACTTTTGTTTGTTGTTGTTGTTAAGATTTTGATCCCAAATCCGACCTTTAGAAAAACGATATAAGAAAGAGATCTAACTAACAGAAAAAACATTTTCAACCACACATATACTATATACTCCTCTGATTTACAAATTTTGTTATTTAAGGATTTTTTTTTTTTGTAAAAAGTGTTATCTTGTATTTGTAATACAGATTCTAATTTATATTTCAATTTTAGTCATATTATTTCAATTTATAATTTAAAGAAAGAAAAATATTTGAAATAATAATAAATGATATATTAGAAAATTCAATATCTTAATATGTTGAAAAATGTTACAGGGAATTTTTGTGAAATGGAAAACAAGTATATTCAAATAGTAGTTTGTAATAGTGTTTTCGGTACACTACCATCATGATTCAGATTTACATATTGCATGTTGTTGTTGATTTTACTAATTACTATAAGCAGTCGATAAATTTGAATCACGGGAAACTTAGGTAGTTGACTATAAGCAGATGATTAATTATAACCAAAGAATTAGTAGTGATATTCAACATATGAAATTGAAATATATAGTATATCAACCCCTGTAAATTGATATATAGATATAACCAAAATATAGTGATATCCAACATATGAGAATTGATATATAGATATAACCAAAAGCACTTCTTCTGGCAAAAGGTGCCCCCATGCGAGAATCATAATGTCGACCATTCTACATTCATGCTGCTGCTTCTCAATCACGTGCCACATGACACATCACGTGACATGAAAAACATAAAACTACGCCTCCTTTCATGATTCTTTTTAGGTTTATAATAGGCCATAACAATATGATTAATTTTTTTTGTTACTTGTCTATTATTGTCAGTCTTTTTAAAACTATATTTTCGAGTATACAGTGTAACTAAATCAGGTCTGGGATATTCAAAAGCTGTTCCATCAACTGTTTGTGCATGTCAGGTTGTTTGTTAACGGAATATTCAGAAATTAATTCGGAAAATAAGTGTTAAATATTTAATCAGTTGATCAAATATCCTCTTGCTTACTACAAATGGCCACAAGAAAAGCCAACGTACCAAAGTCATCATTTAGCCTTTGCTTTTGTACCATCGAATCTCCATTCCTTTTGTTATCTGTCATCCATTCATACATTGCAATCATTTAATTATTTCCAAGCTTTATGTAATTCAAAATTAAGAAGTTATAATCCAATGTACGATTATTCAATCACATATATCCACACTCAAAATCTTCCTTTTTAATAGTCAACTGTTGTTTAAAAAAAAAGTTATGTCAAAATCAATACTAACTTATAACTTATATGTAATGAGAATTACCTCACGACGTCAATTTGGTAAAATCACTAATTTACACAACCACTTTAAATTATTGTTTGCTTTCTTGAACATTTTTTCTTTTAACTTGCTAACCCTTTGTTTAGTGATTACAAGAACATTTGTATAACGGTTTGTAATAATGTTGTTGCGTTATCACCGTAATTCAAATATAGATATTATTGAGAAAAGGTTTATGTATACTTTTAAAAAAAAATTGTAAATATAGAAAAATATATATCATTCATATTCGAATCCAAGCATTTTGTAGGATGTCAACAACGAATAGTTCAAGAAGAAAGTGCACAATTCAGAACAAACGTTTAAAACAAAAAAAAATAGGGTTAACAAATAAAGAAGCTTAGAACAATCGCTTGGGTTTTCAAAATAAATTTGCGCTCTTCTTGATTGGCTTTTTTTGATGCCATAATAATCGGTCGTTGGACAAGTATGAAACGACAAGTTCATTTCTTTCATCTTATTGTATATACATCATTCTTTGTCCGT